CAGCATTGGATTGAAAACATCACGAACAGCCATTGAGCTTGCTCATCATTGCAAAACCATTGTGTATTCATAACCCGAAACTCCTCATCAAGATATATATCACGTCGTTTCCGCACGACCATCTTTAGGCTTGTTCTCTAGCTTCCCTGGGCTTCTCTGCTGGCCTTTCTTCCGGCTTGCCTTCTGGCATTTCTTTGGGCTGCTCCTCTGGTTTCTCCTTGGGCTTTTCCTGCTTATCATCAGGTTTCCCTGCAGAATCATCCTCTGGCTTCCCCTGTGGCTTCTCCACCGGTTTTTCTTCCTGTTTCGTTTCTGGCTTCTGCTCTGGCGTGACTTGTGGCTTCTCCTCGGGCTTGCTTTCTGGCTTGTCTTGCGGCTTCAATTCTGGCTTAAGCTCCGGCTTGATGTCAGGTTTGGCCTCCAGCTTGGCCGCCTCCTTCTCAGGCTTCTTCACTGGCTTCTTCGTCCCAATGACCGGCGCCGCCTCGCCACTGCACAGCTTCTGCAACGGGATAAACGGCTCGTCAACGGCATCCGTAAAAACGCCACCAAACTCATCCTCGAGCTCCACGTTCTCCGGGTACCGGTGCGCGACAACCCAGATCCGCCCATCAATAGGCCGCGGGTGTATGGGCTCGTCAGCCCGGATGGCGCGGACAGCGGCGCGTAGCAGGGGCCGCAGGACGGGGAAGAACCACGAGTCGTAGTACTTGTCGACAAAGGCCTTCTTGCTGCAAGTGTTGTGGTAGAAGGCGTAGATGTGGCGCGTGGCCGTGTTCGTGCCGAGGCGGAGGCCAGCGATCCAGGCGCGGGCCGAGTCGACGGGCCGCTCGTCATCGAGGAGCGCATCGAAGAGGCGGCGCAGGCCGCGGTAGAGCGGCGCCGGCATCTGGATGGTGTAGCCGGCATCGAGGACCCCGGCGGCCTTCTCGACCGTGGCGGTGCGATCGTGGTTAGCGAAGCGAAGGCGGCGCATGAACTTTTCGTTGTGGCATTGCGTCTGCGTGATGGCGTAGTCTGTGTCGAGGAAGGCGTGGTACTCGGTCACGTCGTGGCCGTCGCGCCGCGGCTCGGGAAACGTGTAGTCGTCGCGCCCCCCGGGGAAGACGCCATCGTTGAGGTCGAGGGCGCGCTGGTACTCCTGCCGCGCGTAGAGCGTCGAGACGTAGTACTGGTCCGAGTTGTGGTACTTGTACTCCGGGTCGAACATCTCCTCGATGAGCGCCAGCGTCGCGTCGATCAGGGTTCGCAGGTCGCCCAGCGGCCCGATAACGGTGCCTGAGTTGACGAAGCGCGAGTCGCTGAACGGCAGGCCGCCGGTGCCCGTTTCAGGGCCCCAGACGTAGCGGGGTAAGGTGGAAAAGGGGACGAGCCAGCAGCGCGGGTCACGCTGCTTCTCGTCGCCGTTGCCGCTACTGGGGAAGCACCCCTTGTCGGTGCCCCAGAGTACCGTCTGGCGCAGGCCCTTGGAGTGCACCTCCTCGACGGTAAGGCCGCGCTGATCGGCTAATCTCTGATCGGCGGCGGCGGCGACTTCAAAGTAACGCTGGATCAGGGCCTCTGCGGGGATCTGGGCGAGGACGTCGAAGCCGTCGACAACAATGACAAGATCATCATCCTCGCCGGCGGCGGGGCCATGAAGATAGCGAGTAATGGCCCGCAGCTTTGCAATGTGAGCCGCCTTGGCGTCAAACTCGCCCGTGGCCTTGTAGCCGACAAGCACTGGAATCGGAAAGCGGTTGACGAGGGCTGAGGCCACGACGGCGCACACGGGCGGCTTTACCAACGTCGTCGGGACGAGATAATGCAATCGGGAGATTCTGCCTAGGCTTGTTACGTGTGGTCGCGCCCCCGGACCGGCCTGGGAACTACTTGAGGGTGATTCTGTGGGCTTTTCGGTTGTCTTGGTCTCGGCTCCGGTGGGTTGTGCGGTGTGTAGCATAGATTCTAGGGAAGAACGAGATATATCCTACACCACCATGTTAACAAAGGAACGACGGTCAAGTCGCAACGGACTTCTGCGACCAAACTATGAAAATGCCTACCCTATACTGAATGACCAGGGCTGTGAAGAAGAGCAAGAGCAGAAAGCTGACGACACCGTAAGAGGTGCGCCGGGACGCGCTGGCGAGCATAGCGGTGGTGTTGCTCGGCGATGTCGAACCACGGAGTTGTATTACAAAAAAGAACAATCGTCTAACACGGGCTTCAACTACCTGATGGCAGTGAGAGGTCCTACATGTGCCTGAAAAAAGTGTCTGACGAAACGGGTCGGATGTCCGGATGACAAGGTGGTCAGACGAAGGGGGGCACAACACTGATGCGCGTTGAGATAGGAGAACATAGATTGGCCACGAAGCATTGCCGGCTCTGAAGGAGGCAGCGTCATCTTAAAGTAGAAACGGGAAAACAAGGGAACGGCGGGATGGACGAAGCAGACTGAGAAGAATACAGTTGCCTACCCGCTTGGGACGCGGCACAGCACAATAGCTTGGCCCTGTTGGCGGCACAAGGCATTGGCTCGTCCTGAACAGGATGATGGATCTCGTCTTCTCCACAGGTCCTTTGCAAGCTGGGCATTCCTGGGCACGCCACCAAGGAGAGAACCAGAGAAGCGGCCAGGAGGCAGTCAAGCCTCGTGGCACTGGGGGCCAGCGCTGGTCTCAGCCATCATACTTGTCTACGACAACGTGTGGTTGGAGGTTCGACTGCGTGGGTGTGGACATGGGCGCGAGACAGCCACAAGACGGCGACAGACATCCAAGGGGGGATGGAGAGCCCCATGGATATTGGCTGCGGCTTATGCCCTGCGCCAGGCGCCCAGCTTCAGCGATGGAAGTAAAAACGAGGCCAGGCCAGGTGACTGTTTGTAGGAGTGCCTGTGGTTCTTGTCTGCGCGCCTCGTCGATCGGATCGGTTTTGGGGGGGAGCCGGACGCCAAAGCAAGGGGATGGCTGACAAGGGCTGAGGAGCTAGATCCCTGCAGCCAACGCAATAGAGATGGGCTTTGCAGGCCATGTTGGCGGATTTCGGAACAAGAACCAGGCTTGGCCATGGAGTATGCTGGAGAATTTGCACGCCAGCCAAGATGGTGGAAGAATGAGACGATGCAGGAGTGTATTGTCGTCTCGAGGCCGGACTTTCCCTTCCGGGGCGACCCACCGTTGCCGGATATCCTTGGTCTCTCTTTCTCTCTCTCTCACCCACACTCGAACAACCAATATATGGACGTAACCCTCTTGGCAGCGGGTGAGAATGTCGGGCGATGACTGCAAGAGAGAGGTGTTTTTTTCTCGCACCTCATTTCGACAACACGAGAAACCTTACAGAAGCTGAGTTTGCTAAACGGTGCTGTGCCTCACTCGTGATTCAACTTTAACTCACAAATAGAACCAACAGGGCGGGGGAGGTACACATACCGCGGATGGGATGCTTGTTCGCAGCTTCCTGATGATGCGAAAAAGTATCAGTACATCGGCCGCGTGAGGAGCACAGCCGGGGCTGGGCTGCAGCGACCCGAGACCCCTGAAGATTAGACGATAACGCACCTACTAGGCACCTACCTACCTTAAGGGGACAACCTCGCTGAGAGATCCGTGGACCCCTGTGATCTGTGATCGGCCGCCCCCAAAACGTTGACAGCTGCCGACGTGGGAGGGACGGCCCACCAGGTACCTCAAGACCTTACTAGGCTGCTAGGTAGGGAGCTGCCAGGCCTCTCCAGGTACCTACCTACCTACCTACCTACCAAGGTAGGTACATGTACCTAGGCTTTGCCGGCGATCGCTGACACATCATCCACTTGCATCCATCCACCATTCGGGGAGGTACAGAGGAGGGGACAGCCTTGACAGCCCAGTGCTAGGAACTCGATGCACTTCCCCGCGATCCGACCTTTCGCCTGGCAGATCACAAACCCAGCTGCCGCAACCACAGCCGCAACCACCGACGCAACCACAGACGGCGCCAAACCCCGCCTGCACGCCATCGCTCCTCAACTTCCACCCACAAGTCACAGTCGTTCACCTCGCCAACATGCCCGACTTTGGCTCCATCGTCAAGGGCGGGTGGCATCCCGAGAAGAAGGGCACCACCTTCAAAGGCCAGATGGTGCGTAGCATTCCGTCCTTGTCTCACGACAATCTCCACTGTGCCACGCGATGCGCCACCACGCAGCTTCACTGACATCCCTCGTAGAAAGGCCTCGTGGGAAGAGGTGACAAGGACAAGGACGAAGAGCGTGCCAATCACGTCTCTCGACCCATCGCCTCCCTGCGAGATCCAGCCTCTTTTGCTCCTCCTCCCAAGCGCACCGCAGACCAGCCTCTGCCGCCGCCCATCTCCCGCACGAGCACAGCATCCTCCGCCGCCGGCGGACCTCCGTCCTACAACGACTCCAACCGCTATGCTACTCAGCAGCAGCAGTATGGCGCCGTCGCCGAAGAGGAGGACGACACGCCGGCCCCTCCGAAGCCCTACCGGGTCGACACGACCGGACTCTCGACTCCCATCTGCCGCCGCCCCCCAAAATGAAGAACATGGGCATCGCGCCGC